AGGAGGTCTTGTGAGGAGCGCAGTGTGCGTGTTGGGTGGTACTTGGATATTAGGTCGGTGATGTAGTTCGGGGCAGTATGGTGGACAGCTTTGTACGTCAGTGTTAGGATTTTGAATTTGATCCGTTGCGCAATCGGAAGCCAGTGGAGGGACTAGGCGCTCGAGGAGTTTAGATGTAAATGGGAGCAGGGAGATGGGTCTGAGGTTGTTCGGGTCATTGGGGTCCAGGGAGGGCTTTTTAAGTATGGGGGTGATGTGTGCATGTTTCAGAGGGGAGGGGAAAGTGCCGGAGGAGAGGGAGAGATTGAAGATATGGGTGAGGGAACGTAGGATGGAGGGGGAGGGAGGTCGTAGGAGTTGTGAGGGGATAGGGTCGAGGGGGCAGGTGGTGAGGCGGGCATCAGAGAGGATCTTGGAGACTTCCTCGATGGTAGTAAGGTCAAATCCTGTATAATAATAATCATAAAATAATAAGTATAATAATAATCTCATTCACATTTACCTATGCATGTGAATCCCAAAGTATTTTGCGTTCGGAAGACATGCACTTGGGTGGGTAAATGCCAAAAAGCATCAGCATTTACATGACTGGCTGTGTATAATCATTCACTTGTATAGCAGATTGTACATGGGACCCACCGCTCCATGGGCATGGAAAAGCACCAGGAAATGATGCTAGGCATATAAAATGCCTGGTAAACCCCCACGTACATGAACCCTAATTACTGTGCTGTAAAGAGAGAGTATCACATAAACTTAAAGGAGAAATGTAAAGAAAATCCTGCCACATGCGTACACTGAGATCCACTGTGACAGAGTACACTGCAGGTCCTGCCGCGTGTACACACAGATACAGTTAGGGGCTGAGGAACACTTGCCAATTATAAAGTTTGGTGTGAAGTTTGTAAAGCTGTGTTTTGTTCCCCCTGTTTGTCCCAACATTTTGTGCATCCTCCTCCTCCCCTAGTTCTCCCCCCTCCCACCAGGCTCGCAAGGTCCTTGATTGCAGCCATTTCATTGAATCAATTCATCAGTGGTCCTTCAGCTGTTTAGTAAGAGTACTCCATCACTCTAATTTGTATCCATTCAGAAGTTCTGGAACTACAGCCAATTAAGAAAGAGCTGGCATTGTCATGCAGTTCCAGAACTTTTGAATGGTTAAAAGTTAGAATGACAGAGTACCTCTACTAAATGCCTGACTGTTGCTCAGTAATTGACATCGGCTATAATGTAAGTGGGTGGATGGCCTCTATGCTTCGGCATATATATTTTATAATATTTGTTGGCACATTTCATGTGTGCCCACCATTCGAAGTGGGTGGATGCAGGGCGGTATATTCTAATGGTGGGCATACCACACACTTTTTCTGCCAGAGATTTCTTCACTTTTTTTCATTCAGCTCACAGGCTGCATACAAAAAAAAAAAAAAAAAGAAGATAGCATATATACCCAACAAGGACCAGTGACGTCCTGGTACATCACTGGATTTTGAATGGTTATACCAGGATGATGCCTGCAGGGAAAAGATGCCCCCTCCCCCATTGCCTTCCACAGCCTTCTTGGGCAGTCCCGTGCCATCGGGCGAACCTGAGAATGCAGCCGGTGTTTCTGCCAGCTGACCAGAGAGCTGATTGGAGACCAGAATGGTGCCAATCATCTCTAAAGCAGGAGCGGACTGACCATTTGGAAACTCAGGCGCTGCCCGAGGGCTCGGGGTGAGTAGGGGGCCCCATGAGATGTTCCTGGTACCTTTTTCATAGGCTTTATTGAATTTGGGCAAGGACACAGGGGCCCCATGATCCCCTATTGCCCGGGGGCCCCATGAGTTGTCAGTTTAGCTGCTCTAAAGTAAAGAAATCGGAAGCTACGAGCATTTCATCACGTCAGTTTCGCAGGATATAAACAGCGCCATTTGTAAATTTGGAAAGCATCTGATTACATCGATCTTGGTGAGATTAGATAATGTAAGGGCAGAGGAGGGATCTAGAGTCTGATAGACCCCAGATTTCTCAAAAAAGAATATATGACAATGCCCATTGAAGTTATAGGGAATATTTGAATACCCTGTGATAGCATTAAAAAGTGAAAAAAGAAATGAAAGGGACGGTGTAAAAATAATAAAAAAAATAAAAAATAACTTTAAAAAAACAGAAAAAAAAGCACCCTCGCCCCCCCCCCCCCCCCATGCATGCCCACACCTGCATGCGCGAGCGTTGACCCCATGCCAGTATGTAAACAGCGGCTGCACCATGCATGTGAGGTATCACCACGAAGGTCAGATCAAGGCAGTAATTCATACTAGGCCTCCTTTATAAATCTAATGTGGTAGCTTGTAAAAGCTTTTGAAGCGTTGCCTATGGATTTTAAAAATATACACAGTTTGTCGCCATTGCACGGGGTATGAACAGTTTTTAAAGCATGTCATGTTTCGCATCTATTTACTCAGTATAGCATCATCTTTTATATCATACCAAATAATTGGCCAATATATTGTGTTTTTGTGCATAAAAGCAAAAAAAGTGTATTTCTTTCAAAAAAAATTTGCTTTTGAAAAATCACTGCGCAAGTAATATGTGACATAGAAAATTGCAGCACCCACCATTTTATTCGCTAGGGTGTTTCTCTTTAAAAAAAATATTTACTCTTTGGGGGTTCAAAGTAATTTCCTAGCATCAAAAAAATACAGATTTTTTTTCATGTGAACAAAAAGTGTCAGAAAAGGCTTGGTCTTCGGGTGGTTAAAAGAGTGAGTGTGATAGGCAGTGAGGAAGTGAAATGAGGAAGTTACGCACCTTCAGGCTTTCAAAGTGGTCATTGGATTTCAGGCTCCTGTATGGCTAGGTTCCCAAAAAGTCTCACACATGTGGTATCCCCATACTCGGTAGAAGTAGCAGAATGTATTTTGGGGTGTATTTCCACATATACCCATGGCTTGTGTGAGTAATATATAATTTAAGTGACAACTTTGTGTAAAAAAAAAAAAATGTTTTTATCATATTCAAAAAACTTGTGGAAAAAAATAAATCTTCCATGGACTCAATATACCTCTCAGCAGATAGCTTAAGGTATCTACTTTCCGAAAAAGGGTCATTTGGAGGTGTTTGTACTGTTCTGGTATTTTAGCACCTCAAGAAATGTGGTAAGCAGTCAGAAAGTAAATGCTGTGTAAATTCCATTATCTACGCCATAGTTTGTAGATGCTATAAATTTCACCCAAAGCAGTCAATATACACTTATTAGGAATTTTTTACCAAAAATATGTAGCAGAATAAATTTTGGACTAAACTTTTGACGAAATTTTAGTTTTTTGGAAAGTTTAACCAATATAACTACAAAATAGATGAAAAGCAAAAAATGTCAACCCCTAAAACAAAAGCATTTTTTTTTAAGAAAGCGTTTGCTATGTATTTACTTCAAATGAGAGACACAAAAAACAGCCCCAACAATAAAAGCAAAAAGGCATTGAAGGGTTTAATTGCCCAAAGAGCCTAGGAATCATTAAAGTACAGTTTCCTAGCTGACCCCCATTTCTCCCTGTGCAGTTTGTCAGCTTTCTCTATGCTTTCTCTACAGCAGCTTCCATTTCAATGGCTCTATGGTTGCAGTGGGTGTGTTTTTTAGTAAGAGACTGGTTAAACAAAAGCCACCTTACTGGCCCTTTTAAACCTGCTGATCATAGTTCAAAGGTCATTGCATTATGGTTTTAAAAAAAGTATCAAAGTAGACAAATCTGCTGTAATCTCAAACCCGCAGGATTCACCTTGAACCCATGGCAGTGACAATCCTGAGCCTCAGCCTTATTTTCTATTGCTGGTGTGTTGACAGTGTTAGCAGTCACTAAATAATTTCTAATCTGGCTTTTATTAGAAGGTTACCATTGACATGTCAATGCATTTTTTTTTTTTTTGCTGAGCTGACGCTAAAATGCTAACCAAAAGAAATAAAATCAATATGCATTTTCATATATAATCTACATACAGAAAACTCCTAGATTTGTTTGTTTTATTTAAAATTAAAGGAAGCACCTGGCTCGTTCTAAAACATGTTTCCAAATTTAAAGGCATGGATAAAGTAAATTTTCCCATATTGGAAAAAACAAATACAATTTTATATTATTAGCAAAAGTAACAAAGAAATTACAATTATTTTTATGATTCTGTTGTGGCTAAAAAAGACATATTAGCTGTATTTTGGGGTATTCCTTTTTTATTTCAAGAATGTTTCCAATGGAAATGATGGCTTTACACAGTTTTTGTTAACCACTTGCCTACCGGGCACTTATACCCCCTTCCTTACCAGGCCAATTTTCAGCTTTCAGCGTTGCCGCACTTTGATTGACAATTGCGCGGTCATGCAACATTGTACCCATATGAAATTTTGATCATTTTTTCTCACAAATAGAGCTTTCTTTTGGTGGTATTTAATCGCCACTGGGCGCTTTACTTTTTGCGCTATAAATTAAAAAAGTGCAAAAAAAAAAAAAAAAAGTTTCTTTGTTTCTATTATAAAATTTTTCAAACAGGTAATTTTTCTCCTTCACTGATGTGCGTTGATGAGGCAGCACTGATGGGCACTGATAGGCGGCACTGATGGGCACTGATAGGCAGCACTAAAGGGCACTGATAGGCAGTACTAATGAGGTGGCACGGATAGGCGGCACTGATAGACAGCACTAATGAGGTGTCACGGATAGGCGGCACTAATATGCAGCACTGATAGGCGGCACTGATAGGTGACACTGATGATGGGTACTGATAGACGGCACTGACTGGCATCACTGCTGGGCACTGACTGGCGGCACTGACTGGCACAACCGCTGGGCACTGACTGGTGGCACTGACTGGCAGCACTGCTGGGCTGCACTGGTGGGTGGCACTGGTGGACACAGGTGGGTGGGGTGACACTGGTGGGCACAGGTGGGTGGGCACAGGTGGGTGGCACTGATGGGCACAGGTAGGTGGCACTTCTGGGCACAGGTGTGTGTGACACTGCAGAGTGGCACAGGTGGGTGCACTGCTGGGCACAGGTGGGTGCACTGCTGGGCACAGGTGGGTGGAGCTAGTGGGCGCACTGCTGGGCACAGGTGGGCGGAACTTGTGGGTGGCACTGCTGGGCACCGATCATCAGGGCACTGATCATCAGTGCCCTGATGATCGGTGCCGATCCCCGCTCTGACAACTGCCGGTTCTCGGCAGTACTTTCCTCACGATTTGACAGCGTGAGGAAAGTGCAGCCGAGAACCGGCACTTGCATTTCCCTGTGATCAGCATGTCATTGGACACCGCTGATCACGTGGTAAAAGGCCGGTATGACTGGCCTTTTACCACATCACGTGGTGTCAGCTGTGTCCGCCCCCCTGGGGCGCGCAGGAGAGCGCGTTCTGGGTGGACGTCATATGACGTCCACCCAGAACTGGCCGGCCGCAGTGCAGCCGTCATTCGGCTATCTGCGGTCGGCAACTAGTTAATATAAATAGTAGTAAATTGCAGTGATGTTTTATGGTGCTTGTAGTTTATTGCATCTGAGATGATGATGGATAGACAGATCAGCGTGGGTGTTAATGCAGATATTTGAAGTGCATTAAGGAGATTTTATTTCAGGTACTTATATAGCGCCATCAATTTACACAGCACTTTACATATACAGTGAAGGAAGGAAGTATTTTTTTTGTTGATTATTTAACTTTTATTTGATTTTCCAGTAAAAAAAATAACAACATTTCTACAAAAATAATTCACATATACCCATTCCATTGTTCCCCTTAACAGTGAAGGAAGGAAGTATTTTTTTTGTTGATTATTTTAAACTTTTATTTGATATTCCAGTAAAAAAAAAATAACATCATTTTTACAAAAATAATTCACATATACCCATTCCATTGTTCCCCCTAACACCCCTCCCCCATCCCTCCCCCCTCTCCTCCCTCCCCTATTCCCCTTTCCACATCCTCTTCCTGACTTATATCCTTTCTCATGTTTATCTACTTGTCTCTTTATCTCCAATATTGCTCTCCTTCAAGCTCACAATTAAGATCCCTTTCTAGTTTCTAATTTTCTCCACCTATACCCACCAGTTCCAAATATCTTTCAGAGGTTTTAAATTTCAGCCAACTACACCACGTTTTCCTGAATTTTTCCATTTTATCTTCCTCTATATGACATAACTCCTCCATCCTATAAATATTTTCTACTCTCTTTATCCATTCATTAATTTTGGTGCTTCAGGAATCTCCCAAAGCTTGGGAATCAAACTCTTAGCCGCACTAATTAGATGATAAAGTATCCTGTTTTTATATAATTTCACTGAGAACTCAAAGTTATAGAACAAACAACTCCAGGGGTCTCTCTGTACAATTATCCCACATATCTCCTGAATATAGTGAATTATTTATCTCCAGTAATCCTGTATTTTTGGACAACCCCATCATATACAGTATGTGTCATTGTACCCCTTTCTCCACATCCTCTCCAACACAAAGGTGATGTGTCTACTTCTTGTCTGTTAGCTATATTTGGTGTAATATACCATCTGGTTAAACATTTATAATTCATCTCCACTGTGCTCATAATTGTCACCTCATGTGTTAATTTAAAAACTTTATTCCATTGCTGTACACTCAATTCTATTCCAATCTCTTTTTCCCATATTTTCAAGAACCCCGGATGATCAGTTCCTTCTATAGCCATTAGGATCTTATAAACCCTAGAAGTAGTATGTTTTGGGATTATTTTTTCATTTAACAGTTTTTCAAATGGATACATGTCCTCCGACGTCCTCAATGGTTGGGGGAGACTTGAAACAAAGCGATTTAATTGTTAATACCTCCACTCATCAAATATGATAAATAAATCTTTTTTCTTTTTTAAATTTTGAAAAGTATGTACTTTCCCTTCATTCATATATATCTTTCAAATGTGCATTCTTATTCTTTAACCATTTCCCAAATATATTATCCTTTCCCGGGGGGAAATATTCTGTTCCCTCCAAAGGAGTCAATATTGAATTATATTTCCATCCTTTTTGACTATGCATTTTATCCCATACACTTAAAACGTTCCTTGTCAGTGAACTAATATTAACATCCAATGTGCGAAATTTATGTGGAATCCATACAATCTTTTCTAACTGTGCCTTACTTAAAATCCCTTCCATCTTCACCCATCCTTTCTGTTGTGAGTTAAATGTCCAGTCTTCTATTTGTGATAAAATTACTGCTAAATAATAATTCCTTACATTAGGTAATCCCAGACCCCCCTTTTCCTTTCTCTCTACTCAAAACTTCATAACTAATTCTTGGTTTCTTATTTACCCATACAAAATTTAGTAATCATCTTCTTTATTATCCCAAAAAAATTATTCTGGGAGGTGAGCTGGAAGCATATGAAACTTATACAACATTTTTGGCATTATCACCGTCTTTACCAAATTTATACGTCCTATCCAAGAAGTTCCTCCCTTTGAAAGTCTCTTTAGTTCTTCCTTGATCTCATTTATTAGGGGGATATAATTTGCCTGATATATATATATTTTTTTGTGGGGGTCAATTTTACTCCCAAATATCCTATTTCCTTTTCCCTCCATATAAATGTGAAACTATTTTTGCAGACTCAGCTTCTCTGACCTTGGGATATTGATATTTATTATTTCAGATTTTACCAAGTTTATTTTCAGGTTTGCTAGCTCACCGTACTGTTTTAATACTTTCATTAAATTAGGCAACGTTATTCTAGGTTTTTACAATATAAAACAACATATCATCTGCATATATGGCTATTTTATGTTCCATTTCACCTATCTTTATTCCCACTATATCTACACACTGCCTTACTTTTGCCAAAACAGGTTCCAACGACAATACGAACAATAATGGAGAGAGGGGACATCCCTAACTAGTACCATTATACATTCTGAAAAACCTAGAGAGTGATCCATTAACCTTCACCGCCGCTGATGGGTTATTATACAGCCCTTTTATCCATTTTAGCATTTATGGCCTATTCCTATAGCTTCTAGTGTGTCAAACATAAATCCCCAATTAAGCCTATCAAAAGCCTTTTCGGCATCAAATCGATAGGAGTATTGACGGCTCTTTCTCTCTCTTAGCTCTTTGTACTAGTATAAGGGATCTCAACCCATTATCCCTAACCTCTCTTCCCAGTACAAAACCCACCTGATCTAGATGTATCCATTCTGGCATCAGATCCTTCAATCTCATTGCCAACACCTTAGCATATAATTTAGTGTCTACATTTAAAAAAGATATAGGCCTATAACTGGCGCACAGCATACTATCCTTGTGAAGACTTACAGGAAACGTTTGACCTCTGTCATTGCCAACAAAGGATATATAACAAAGTATTGAGATGAACTTTTGATATTGACCAAATACTTATTTCCCACCATAATTTTCAAATAAATTCTTTCCAAATCAGCCAATGTGATTGTTTGGATTTTTTTCTCATTTTGTCTCTCATAGTTGAGGTCTACCTATGATGCCAATTACAGGCCCCTTTCATCTTTTTAAGTGGGAGAACTTGCACAATTGATGGCTGACTAAATACCTTTTTGCCCCACTGTATGCTCCATTGTACCCCTTTCTCTACATCCTTTCCAGCACCACGGGGAATTTTCAGCTTGCTGCTTATGGGCTACATTTGGTATTATATACCATCTGGCTATACATTTATAATTCCTTTCTACCGTGTGCATATTTGTCACCTTATGTATTAATTTCAAAACAGTATTCTTTTGCTGTGGGATCATGTGTATTCCCAATTCCTCCTTCCCATTTTCCCAAAAACCCAGGGTGGTCTAATCCTTCCAAATGCATAAGAATCCTATATATCTTTGTGGTGATATGTTTAGGGGTTGCTTTCCAGTTCATTAATTTTTCAAATGGGTTCATATCCTCTAACACCCTCAACGGTTGTGTAAGACTCGCCACAAAATGGTTTACACTGGTAATACCACCATTTGTCCAATCTAACAAATACATTTTTATTCTTTTTTAGATTTTGAAAAGTGCATATTTTCACACCCTTTATAATATCCTTCAAACGTGCATGTTTATATTTTATCCAACCCCCCTACCCCACTTCAGTGTTCCCTGGTGGGAAAAATTCTGTACCTACAAGTGGAATCATCAATGAATTAAATTTCCTTTTTTTCTTACTATGTAATCGATCCCAAGTGCTCAATATTATTTTAGTCAGTACCTTCATCCAATGTGCAAAATCTGTGTGGAATCCATATGATCTTCTCTTAACTGAGATTACCCCTTCCATTTTCACCCAACTTTTCCCTTGTGAATTAAAAAACCAATCTACTACACGTGATAAAATTACAGCTGTGTGGTAGTTCTTCAAAATTTGGTAGTCCCAATCCTCCGTTTTCCTTTGCTCTACACACCTCATATCTTATTCTTGGCTTCTTGTTCGCCGGGGGGGGGGGTGGTGGGGGGGGGGGGGGTTGGGGTTGTTGGATGGGGGGGGGGGGGGGGGGGGGGGGGGGGGGGGGGGGGGGGGGGGGGGGGGGGGGGGGGGGGGGGGGGGGGGGGGGGGGGGGGGTGTGGGGGGGGGGGGTGGGGGGGGGGGGGGGGGGGGGGGGGGGGGGGGGGGGGGGGGGGGGGGGGGGGGGGGGGGGGGGGGGGGGGGGGGGGGGGGGGGGGGGGGGGGGGGGGGGGGGGGGGGGGGGGGGGGGGGGGGGGGGGGGGGGGGGGGGGGGGGGGGGGTGGGGGGGGGGGGGGGGGGGGGGGGGGGGGGGGGGGGGGGGGGGGGGGTGGGTGGGGGGGGGGGGGGGGGGGGGGGGGGGGGTGGGGGGGGGGGGGGGGGGGGGGGGGGGGGGGGGGGGGGGGGGGGGGGGGGGGGGGGGGGGGGGGGGGGGGGGGGGGGGGGGGGGGGGGGGGGGGGGGGGGGGGGGGGGGGGGGGGGGGGGGGGGGGGGGGGGGGGGGGGGGGGGGGGGGGGGGGGGGGGGGGGGGGGGGGGGGGGGGGGGGGGGGGGGGGGGGGGGGGGGGGGGGGGGGGGGGGGGGGGGGGTTGGGGGGGGGGGGGGGGGGGGGGGGGGGGGGGGGGGGGGGGGGGGGGGGGGGGGGGGGGGGGGGGGGGGGGGGGGGGGGGGGGGGGGGGGGGGGGGGGGGGGGGGGGGGGGGGGGGGGGGGGGGGGGGGGGGGGGGGGGGGGGGGGGGGGGGGGGGGGGGGGGGGGGGGGGGGGGGGGGGGGGGGGGGGGGGGGGGTGGGGGGGGGGGGGGGGGGGGGGGGGGGGGGGGGGGGGGGGGGTGGGGGGGGGGGGGGGGGGGGGGGGGGGGGGGGGGGGGGGGGGGGGGGGGGGGGGGGGGTGGGGGGGGGGGGGGGGGGGGGGGGGGGGGGGGGGGGGGGGGG